TATTAGGCCATACAGGTATATATACCTATTATTTCTTAATATAGTCTATATATTATATAAGGGTTACTTTATAAAATTCTATACTAAAGACAAGGCTATAAGAGCCAATGTTCTTATACCTATAGAACCGGAGCTTGAAAGAACATATCTCGCTACAATTATCTATAATAAATACCTTAAGATTATAGGCTCAATAGACCTTAAATCTGTTCCTATAAAAGGTTATAAACTCTTGGTTATACTTAGCTAAGGCGGTAAAGCCCCGGCTTTGAGCCCAATTATTATTAAGGAAGTTATAGTCTGACCCGGTATTACCGAGTCCACTATATACTTCTAAGGCACCTACTTCTGGCTATATTAATCTTGCTTGAATAGTTATACGAAGTAATACGCCTTTTTTATTACGGCCAAAATTATTAATATTCAAGATTTGGCCTTTCCTTTTCCCTGTTCCTTAGGAGAGTCTCCTCTAGAGCGCTCCTCTATAACAATAGCATTAACCTGCTTCTATAGACGCCTTGACTCTTCTATGGTTTTGGCCTTATTAGGGTTCTGCCAAGCCTATTTGGTATACTTGAAATACTTTATACTTTCTAAGAAGTATCCTTTCTATCCACAAGTTCAATAAACCATACCTGAAATAGAACTAGTACTTTATTAAGGCCTTAAAGGGGCCGAAGTACTACCTGAGGATTTCTCACGTAATTTTCGGAACTTATCCTTCCTTTTTCGATAGCCTTGCGAATCAGAATTCGCTAAGTCAGAGTCCTTGGGGGCAGAATTGCCCTTACTAGACTCCCCTGCCTTTACTCTCCTTAATTTAGGATAAGTAGTATATTCTGCTTTCTGAGCTTTCTTAAGCTACTCGGAAACAGATACCGCCTTATCTCCTGAGAGGATAGATACAAGTATCTAACAAGTCTTATAGTTAGATAAAGCAGTATCGAGAGTCCGGACCCGGTCCCTTTTAGGGCATAGGTCCTGGTTAACTTTGAGACTAATTATCCGAGTATATAACTCGGTAACTATCTCGCCGTTCTTCTAATAAAGATCTCGGAGTTCCTTAAAGGCGTCTTATTAACGGGTTTGAGGTACTTGAAGTATATTGGCCAAGTAGGCCTTAAATCGCTCCTAATAGACCTCATATAATAGTAGGCTTTGCTTTATTATAGCCTCCCAAGTATTATAAGGTTTGTCCCTAAGGGCACTTGTAGCAGAATTGACTTTAGAAGAGTGTCTATTATAAGTCCAAGGCTAGGTCCTAAAGACCGCCTCCCAGGAGGATACGAATGTCCTCTATTCCTTAAGGGACTTTCTATAATATAAGTCAGGCATCCGGATCTTAAGAAGCTTCTCTCGGTCCAAATATATCTTTAGGACATTATATAATGGCTCCTAACGGATAGTATCGAGATTACTCTCAAAGCTTATTATATCAGGAAAGGAAGTGGGTTCTAACCCCATTTCAGGAAGTTCCCTGGTAGGAATTACCAAGGAAGAGGAAGTAAACTTACGAACAGAGTTTCTACGAGATATAGTAAACCGCAAGGTATCCCTAAGAGTACCCTTATATTACTCTAACTATAGGATACGCTAGTTGATTACATTCACTAATTCTTGCTTTCATTAGAGCGCTTTGACTTCAGTACGCAAGCCCTGTTCCGTAGCTTGGGCGGCAGTAACTCGGGCATTAATCTCGGTATCTTAATTATTACCGGGATTATTTCCGTCATTATTACTGGCTCTCGGAGGCTCCTAAGGGGCCCCATTAAAAGTATTAGACGAGCCTTCGCTATTACCCATATCGGGGTTAATCTGGTCGACTTTCTCTATAGGAATAGCTTTGGCGAGAGATCATATATTTCACAGATTTCGAGACATAATTACTTATCGAACTACCTCCTTTGAGGGTAGAGAGATTAGCTTATAAGGTATTTATTAGTAGGCAATAAGACAATAGAATGAATTAGTGTATTATAAAACCATAGTATTAAATTCAGTACAGAACTAATCTCTGTCCCTCCTATAAGGTCCAGGGAAGCCCCCTCTAAATAGGAGGCCCCGATAGCATATATATAATTAGTGATTTATAAGCCTAATATATATAATATAAACAGTAGTTAGTTAGGATATCGAAGGGCTGCCGAACTCCCTAATTAATACCCGCAATATCCGAGGTTCGTCACATGCCCTTAAGTCACGTGCGACCCTGCACACATCACAAATATATAGATATAGGCCGCCTTCTTTCTTTAAAACAAATATAATTAGGATACTAGCTAGGCTAATAAAATAACGGATCTATTTCTTTTCTAAGCTAGTATTAAGATATTCCTAAAGAACTTTAAGCTCTCTTTCTAATAAAATATATATAGAACTATATAATAATTAGGATCCTAGTTTCAGATCTATATAATATTCTATTATATAATAGTCGGATAGTATATCTATAGCCTTTATAAAGAATACTCAGAGAAAGTCCTAATATTTCCTAAAAAATATAGCTATTCCGTTTATAGTAATAGTAGTAATTCTTTAGCTATTTATTATAGGATAGGCGATTAATAGAAAAACATATACCTTATATTTTATTACTTTAGTAAACTTCCTAGTATTTAGAACTTTAATCTTCTATAATTAAATCTAGTATCTTTATATTATTTCCCTAAAGGAAATTAGGAAATTAACCTAGTAAAGCTATAGGAATTCAAGTATTATATTAATATAGTTTAGATTAAAATCATATAATATAAAATATATATTAGCTTTTCTTTAGTTTCCTAGTATATTCTTAGTAATAATTCTAAGAATATAATCTCTATATAAATAAATCCTCTTTTTCTCTAATAAGAATAAGGGAGTTATCCTTAATATTAATAGAATATCTATATCTAAGGCTAACCTCCTCTTTATATAATTAGCCTCTATATCCGAGTTAACTAATACTCTAACTTTTTGCTTACCTTTCCTTATCTTAATAGTAACCTTAATTACTATTCTCGTTTTAGGGGCCTTGCCCTTTATAATATAAATAAGTATAACTATTATAAGGCATACCCGTTTCCTAGCTTCTTTAGTTCTAGGTATTTATATGCCTTATAGCTAGACTTATTATAGTTATAGCAAGTTAGTTTTCCCTAATTTAGGTAAGTAGTAATATAGTAATTCTTTTTCTAATAAGTAAAGTAAGTTATATCCGGTCTTATAGATCCTAATACGGATACTATATTAGATCCCGTTATTATACTTTTATTATCCTAGTTATATAAATCTTGTAATAGGAATATATTTCTTTTCCGTTTCTCTTTATTATTTCCTCTTTTCTTTCTCTAATTTTCTTTCTTTTATTAACTCGTTAGCTTATTATTATATTCCCGTTAAGTAAACTAGTTTAAGTTATTCTTGATTCTTATAGCTATAGAAATAAGCTTTTCCCTTTCTTATAAAGCATTTCCTTAGTAATTAATCTCGTCCCAAATCTCTTGCCTTAAGCTACTAAATAAGTTATCCCGCTCTTATAGCAAACTTATATATCCCAAGTTATCTAATAGGCTATCTAAATAGGATATAAAGCTTTGGATACTCTAATCTAGCTACTATTTTATATCCTTAAACTTAGTAAGGGCATTATTACTATAGTTTTCCGGATCTAAGATAGAATTCTTTATAAACTTAATAAAGATCTCCTAATCCGTAATATTAATACCTACTAATTACTCTCTATACTTCCAGATATCCCTGGCTATATTCTCAAAGCAAGAAGTATAATACGTAACCTTTACTATATCTGTGGCCCAGGTAATCCCGCCGTTTTTATACTATTTTAGCTCCGCCTAGTAGAAGAAGTCCTGGGCTTCCTTAATACTTTTCCTCTTATAGGTTAGTAATTCTCGGGTTTTTAGAGCCCTGTAAACCAAACGTACCGCCGGTAGCATAACAGGTTCCACGATAGGTGCCCAAATATCCTCAAGATAGCGAATCTGAGCTTCCAAATTCTCTAGATCCTCCCTCTATTATATCTCTGCTTCTAACTCAGTAATGTAATAACGAGCCGCCGCCAGCTTCTCCGTTATTATTATCCTGCCAGCTAGTTCTGGGGGTATCTGAGTTCCACTCCCTTCTCCTAATTAGGCGGTAGCTAGAGTGGCTGACTGGGCGCTCCCCTGGGTGCCCGACTAGGTCGCCCCAGTAATAGCAGAGGCGCTTCTTCTGGTTAATGCTCCAGCCATTAGTGGTTTTGTCTATCGACGGCTTGACTACCTCGCAACGAACTGCTCCCCGAAGATTGGATCGATTAGAATGTAAGGTACGTAATAGCAGGGTAATGCACAAGTAGTCAAGGTAAGTAAGCTGCGGAGTGACGCTTGCAAGTGTAACTGATTCCAAGAATTAATTCTAATAAGAGACTAATCAATGCCCCTTCCAAAGCTAGGAGCGTCTCCCTATATATTCCCTAGTGCTTAGCCAGGCATGCGAAGCCCTTTACTTAATTAGGAAATCCCATGCGATCCATACGATTCCGATCGCAAGCTGTACCCAAAATAGGAAACTAGATCCACGACATCTGATACCTGTCCATGCGCCATCACGTGTGCCCATCACATTATACTCCTTTATTTTCTATAGAACTCTAAGCGGATTAAGGGGTATTAATCCAGTTTTCTCAAAGAAAGAGATTGTAATACGCTAGCTCTTGAAAACCCTATCCCAAAACCTCTGGAAAATCGCAAAAAAGTCTGTCTTATTAAACTTCTCTGTACTATTGAAAATCTCTCGACGAAGCTCCTTTTGAAACCAGTATTTTAAAGATTAGAAGACAATAATATCAAGTGGTTAAAGAAGGTGAGTTATATATACAGGTAATCTAAATAGTCGAATGCGATTCTTCTAGCAGAGGTATAAAATTCGTTAGATAAATGAGAACTATACCTATCGAAAATCAAGATCCTATAGGTACCCGTTTATAAAAGAGGATAGTACTTAATAAAGTACTTGAGATATTATAAACCCAGGCGATTATTTATAAAACTAGTAAGAGAGTATATAAATTCGATACTGCCGTTAAGTATCCGTGGAAAATATCCGTAAAGATAGTATGCTTTCTTAAAAATAATATATACAGGAACCTTCCTTCTATCGTAATTAATTATAGCCATGACTATAACTAATTCTCGATTATCTGGATCGGCATTATATACTACTTCGTAATCTAGTAATATATATATAATATTCCCCGTTACTACTCTAATTTGGAAGCCACTCTCGTTAAAATTAGATATATCCTCCATATAAATACTCCATTTTCTCCTATACTTGTCAAAATTGGCAAAATGCTTCTTAATATCCTCTATAATATATATACTTAGACATTTCGCAGATATTGGTTTCTCTCGAATTTGCTTTAGGAATTCGTAATTGCAGGCGATCCAGGCTTTTGTCTATCTGCAAGATATGGAGGAATCAATATCGCCAGTATCGTAATAAACTAGCCTGGAGGCACCTGTTTGAATCGCTTCCAGGTTAGGACTTCGCCCGGAGATATAGAGTATTAAGAGATAATCTCTTAAAGACTTATCTTGTGGTACTGAGAGTTTTTTATTATATCTACCCCGAGAGTTACTTACAGGACGACCCCTTCACCGGGCCATTAATCGATTATACGGGGCCCCAAAATGGGCTGCAGCCTTCGTTCCTTTGAGCCTAGGATCTCGATCCATAGCCTCAGAGGCCTTAGCAATTCGCTCTTTAATAGCTTCTGCTTTGGGTGGCATTTTGGTGGGTAGAAAAGTCGATGGTGGGGGGGCGGGGAAAAATTTGCGTATTACTGGTTTTTACGTATTGCCCTCCCCCACCTGGTAAGCGTGCTAAGCGAGAACCAGGTGAACCCGGCCGAACGAGTAGTGGCTGTGGCTATCCCTTCGTCCGGTGAGACATAGTCCACGCTAGCAAGGGGGCCTGGCTCAGACTGTAAAGTCATACTATCCCCCCCCAAGAATAATTGCTAGCGCACCTAATATAGTAAAGCTTTACAAGGGGGTCAAACAGGGGTTATAGCCAATCAAAAAGCTTAGAATCTTCTAGATTCTCTCTACCTACACACTTCACCGCCTTCTAGATTCAGTACTTTGTTGGCCCGCCTTTCGCATCAATTACAGCTTTACATCTCCTCCACCAGGACTTATATAAGCTCATAATAAAGTCTATAGGTACCGCTTCCCATGCCTCCCAGATAATCCTTCTCAATTGCGATAGCGGGATCTTAGAGGCATCGTAGTAAGCTGTGTAATAGTGCTTTTGGATCCAATTCTTCATCCAATTCCATACGTGCTCAATAAGGTTGAGATCAGGGGAGTACCGTGGCCATTTAATATAGGGAATTCGTCGTATTCGCAGGTTCTCTTGGGTCTCTTTTGAGCGGTGGCAGGAGGCATTATCTTGCATCCAAACGAAGGGTTTATCGGGATTCGCATCAAAGAAGGATTCGACGTTATTTAAGATCACAGCGTCGTACTTGTATGAGTCCATACTCCCCCACTCCTTCTCCCAAAACGTAGCTGGCCCCTTTCCTCCCATAACGATCGTACCGTGGAACATCCAAGCCGGGAGCTTGCGATACTTGTGTTGAACACACTCAGGATTAAGGCGATCAGAGCCATCCTCCTTTACTGTAATATACGCTTGTGTGTGTGCCCCTCCCATCGCCCAAACCTCGTCAGAAAAGACCTGGTGAAAGAGTCGTTCAGGTGTCCAAGTAAGGCCTTCCTCTGCAAAGTCGATACGCTCTTGCATAACCTCTGGATCGTCTGAAAACCCCTTTCTCTTGGAAAGCCGTCTACCATATCCTACAAGCTTGAAAGCTGTCTGCATTGCATATGGTCCACAATCTTGTAAACGAAGGTCTGGCGGAGCAATCTCTCGTATATGTCTCCAAGCAACGTGTCGACGAGATGGTGATTCAAGGAGCCATTTCTCTAAGGCAGAACGACGAGGGGTATCGATTTTAGGTTTCGCTCCACGGCGGTGGACTTGAGGAGTAAGCCGGGCACTCCTCGCACGTTGGATCTGAGAGAGTGTGTAGCCGTATTGCTTGCGGATCTCCTCTGGTGAGATATTAAAATCGAAAGCGGTCTTAATTCGTATGCGATCGGTACGTGTAAGTGTTGGGGCATAAGGTCCTTTCTTTGGAGTCTGTGGCAGATCACTCTGTGAGCTTACTGAGGTAAATGAGGACTCACAAAGGGGCCTGGGGCCATTTTGGGAGTCCCACGATTGTGTAGAGAGCTGTGAAAGTGGAATGGGTGGTGGTGGTGGTGGAGTCTCAAGGATCTCAGACGGTAAACGTCTTCGCGGAGGAGTATTAAGGAGTCGATGTATATCCATTGTGTGTACCAGAGCTCTGAATAGCTTCAATTGCGCAGTGGACGATTCTGCCGGCAGTATTTAGTAAAGGGAAGGTGTATTCTAGAAGGTTCTTTGCTTTGATTGGCTATAAACCCCTGATCAGAAGCCCTGGTCAATGTGGCGCGCTAGCAATTATTCTTGGGGGGGGATAGTACTATCCCCCCCCTTGAATACTTACAGTGGGTCCTGGGATAACACCACTCCTGCACTGACCAACTCAAGGGTGTATAGCCAATAGCGATTCTGGAGAGCACCTGATATTTCCTAGTTGGGGGTTATAAACGAGGTTTCAGGGTGGCGTTACTAAAGGACCCACTGTAAGTATTCAAGGGGGGGGATAGTACCTTTGCTTAAAAAGTTATTAGTCATCTATCACCTTTTCGCCCTGAGCCAGGCCCCCTTACTAGCGTGGACTATGTCTCACCGGACGAAGGGTTTAGGCACGGACCCACTAAGCTACAGGTGCTTCCAGGGCACTTTAGCGGTGGTGGCTTTACAGGCTAGTTTCACTGATTACAGCGTGTGATTAGTGGCTGGGACTTCATGTGCCCTGTAGTCGCATGACTTTATGCCGCAATATTCGTAATTTGACGGCGCTAATTTGGTCTAATGAGCGCTAAGCACTAAACTAAAATATGTGACGCTTTGTATCAGCCTCTTTGCACGGCGAAACTCCCCGACATCCTCATTTTCCTCTCTGAATGTCATCAAAACTTGATGCCATATTCTTTCTCTATACAATATTCCCCTGAGTGCTCCGAACTTTGATGAGACTCTAATAGTCGCGATTAAGCAGGGGGAAACAGATAAAGCGGCAATCAATGGCGTTACCAAAGGGATCGACAGCATTATCAACTGTAATAATTTCTCGTTACAACTTGTTTCCTAAGAAAGAAATGGCAAGAAAACAGTTGTGTGTTGATGGTAATATTATTGACTTGCGAGGAAGAGACTTGAGATGTCTAAACTGTAGATTCGTCTCGTGACGGGGTGCGTCTCTCGACGCAGGGACGGACGATATCAGACATGACATTTTGAAACATACTAGGGCTCTAGGCTGAGTTTATGGCCGGCCATGTCTTCATCCCAACTCGCCGCCTCTTCACTCCTAGTTGCGTGCCATTCCGCCCATTTTTCGATAGCCGAAAAGGTGGTGCTGGACGTCTCGTCTTCCTCGCCAAGCCAAATCGCAACTCTTGTAGCTGGAGCATAGATGCCTTTCGGGAGCGGAAATTGAACCGTTTTTTCGTTGACGTCTGATTGATTGATACAAATGGCATCAATCCACAAGGCTCTTAGGAGTTCTTCATCTCGAAGTTACGCTTCCTCTCTTGGCTAGTCATAAATTCCCCCACTCTCGATTTCCCCATCTTACTTGCTTTTCCCTTTCTTAGTCTTTCCACTTTTGTCTCTTTTCATCCCATCCGTGGCTACATCTTGGGCTCCTCGTTTACCTTTCCCTTTCTCAGGAGCAGATTTTGAATCATCTGCTCCTTTGTGAAATTCACTTCCAATCCCACCCCCTCCACCGCCACCGCCATCTTTATCTGCCTGCATGTCCTGAAGTAGCCGCTTCTCCAACGTACTCACAACCTCCGGCTTAAAGTATCTTGGTCTTCATATGGTCCAGGTTGAACTACAAGCGGCATCTCCCACACACTTTTGAATCCAGCATGCCCATGAACGGGATGGGGCCAGGCCAACCAAATATCACTAACTCTGACCTCCAATACCTTCAACCCCATACCTCTTAGAGCATTCAATCCCATCAAAGGCCAATCTTCAATCCCCTCCTTAGTCTCAACACTAATACCAACCCCAAGTCTTCTCAGGGAAACACACTCACGCCACATGCCACACGTCCACTCATACACCTCTTGCGTCCTCGTCGTCCTCGACCCCCACCCCAGCGTCCCACCTATCAAGAAGAAATCAATTTTCTGCACGAGTTGCCGACAGCGAGGTCCAATCATGTAGAGATATCGGTAGAGATCGTAGGCGTAATAGAAGGAGAAGGTTTTGGTCCCGTAGTAGAAGGGGATGAGTTCCGTGAAGAAGGCTTAGCATGTATCACGACCCGTGGCTGGTGTCCTCAAGTAAAACAGCTGTATTGGGTGTGTGTATGTACGTCTAAAGAGAGAAGAAGGAGCGGGGAGCTCGAGAACTAAGATACAGGGTGTCGCGCTAAGCTAAGTCACGTGCGACACAACAGCATGTGCGTGCTAGTGCGAGCACCTTTTCGTGTGATCGAAACGGTTTCTTGCCGAATTCATGGTTGGATGTCTTTGTGAAGAGAGATCTCACGCTTGGGTAGATGGTTGAACGAGATGGGAGTATCTCGCCGTAGATCTTCTCGCGTATCTCGAGAGGAAGGACCGTCAAAAGGGGCGTTGTTTGCTCGGCTCGATATTGGATTGCGATTGAGACATTATGAACAGGCGAAGATATCCGGTAGTCGAAAGTTGATAGGATAAACCTAGTCTTGGGCTTGGGGTTTTTGTGCAAAAAGATTTCTCAAATGTTCGGGGTCGCTTTGATTTATCGATTGATGAGCTTGATCAATTGAGGGGAAGAATGTGAGGCGACAAGCGGAGTGCTCAATGGTGCAGATGACTTGCCTTCATCAATTAAGAACGAAGGCGGGTGAAGTTTTCCTTGATATATATAGACATATGCATTGCTGCTGCAGCAATGCATCGGGTGCAAAAACGAGCACATGACCCCACTATCTGAAGAAACACTTACTTAACACAGGCAACTATCCCCCCTTGCCACTTGCCAGCCTATCAATGGACCAAGAGTCATGAAGTGTCGCCAGTCAGTTCTCCAATATCTGAAAGCACTATCCTCTTATCGCCGCTATCAATATTCGAGTTGTTCTGTACAACCCAGTTCGATTCCCGAGGTGAAAAGGGACCTCGCTTAATTTAGCCCTTAAACTCTGCTACTGCACTTCAAAATCTAAGCCATATATGTGAGTGATATGATAATCTATCTGAAGGGATCGAACTTTAAGGGTATGGCATTTATCTCATATTATCTTCTGCGATCTTGGTCAAGTAATTGTTGAGGTTGCTTACAGTGTCCCATCCGAGATTTGTGGTGACTAAAACTCGACTGTTGCGACCCTTCACTGGTGACAACTGAGCTGTAACTAATTAAGACCGTCATTCATACTATGGAAAGACTAAAGGACGAGAGGAACTATCTTCCATTTCAGATATTACTCAAACACATTTCACATGGGCGATGCGTTGTCACGTGATACATAAAAGGGAAGAGGACGAGGTGATATCAATCTCTAATTTGCTAATAATCAAAGCATTAAAGTCATATAAGCCTTCGAAGTACGTCGTAAGCCCTCAAGGCTATACAGCCCAATCATCTGAGCGCTGGCGACAACTTTGTTGTTTGTGACGCCGGCGGTGGCACCGTTGATCTGATCGCCTATAAAATTATCTCACTGAAGCCTTTACGGGTCGAAGAGTCTGCAGTAGGCTGGCGGGCTTTGTGGAAGTGCCTTCTTGAACCCGCATCTTCAGCCCCCAAGGAAACCTCTTTCCCACTTGGGCTTGGGGTGGGCGAGAACTTTGGGTCCCAACCTTTGTATGACGCTCCCTGAGGATAACTCTCGACTCCGCCATTTACGTCACGTAGGCTGCTTCTCACTGCGGTATGTAACAAATCTATCCAGCTTTACTATCCAAGTTCCAATTGGCCGCTTGTGCACAGAGTTTGGGACCTAACACTTGCATCACGCTCCTCTCTCGTCTTTCCACCTTTAAGAACGATGAATCAGAGTCTCGAAAGCCTTTTTTCGTGTCGTAATCTTGCATGAGCCTGCGATGTGCAACGAATTATTTTGTATAACTGATGAGGGTAGGCGTTTTGTTTCGCTAGAATGAATGAGGAGCGAGCGAAATGACTTCCGTTACCTCAAGAATACCTTCCCCTTAAGTCTCCCACATAATCGAGATTCCTCAGAGACTCGCGCATCCATCCCCGACCTGCTGCTTTCATACAAACCCAATCTGGCCTAGATATACTTAGTGATCCAGCTTACATATACCATTAGAGAGATTATGTCCACCAAAGACTTCCTCAAAGTCCTCCAAAGCCACACTCTTGCTAGCAGACCCCTTGAGCCAGGTGAGTGTTTTTTCATTCTGTGGAACAGTAAGAGCTTAGAGAATCCGGAAATATGCGTCTTAACGTCCCGAATTCTTCACGTCTGTGCAACGAACTTCTGCCAAAGATAATCATTCCGGATTCTCAGGAACACGCAATTAACAAAGCGCCTCAATGCCCGACCGTCGCCTCCGGGCAGAATCACTCGTACCGTTGGTAGTTGTCGCAATTATCGGAAAATAGTGGGCCTAGTTCCGTACTTACTGATTGGGCTCGAGGTGGTCCTTTGTGCCTTCCAGATCCGAACTTCTCCTCAATCATTGCTGAGTTGAAACCGATTCCAATTTTGCCAGTCTTCGCTTTCGAAACACGTAGGGCTTGAGTCCACCCTTCAGTCTGAGTCTAATATGATTAGCCTCCCGAAGGGTTATCTCTGTTCCCGAGGACGTGATTGCACGTACATAATTAATACCTCTAAAACGTCTCACGCTCCACGAGCTTAGGATATACCCACAAATGTCGTTTTGTTTGTCCGAGTGATATCTTCTTCACCCTCGTACATAGTAAAGAGTAAAGGCCTCTCTGACAAGGCAAATATGGTATGTGCCATTGCCCTGGATATCTCTCGCTTCGTCGACCTCTTTAGAATGACCGCCTTGTCTGCCTTCCATATGACAGTTTGATGACAACCGTCGGTTCAGTTGTTGCCATGGTATATGGGTTTGCCGTGTGAATTGCTGAGGACGAGGTAGAGGAAAGATTTGTATGTCAGGTGAACTCCTGGTGTTGAGCTTGGGGTTTGAATTGCGGTCGTGCCTGGGAGGTTGAGTCTGCGCTCCATTGTTCTGTCA